TTCGTGGACCCCTAGGGAGCTCCATCTAAGACTCAAATGCCTGAGATCGCATGGCGTCGGTGCTTCATTCTGGCACACCCCTCACGCGTTCCGTGGCCCCACAGGGAGCACGAGCGAAAGCCAAAATGCCAGGGTTCGCATGGCACACCCCTCACACGTTTCGCAACCCCGTAGGGAGCTCCAACTGCCCAAATGCCAGGGTTCGCATGGCGTCGGTGCCGCTTTTCGAGCACACCCCTCACACGCTTCGTGGCCCCATAGGGAGCTCCAGCTAAGGCGCAAATGCCAGGGTTCGCATGGCGTCGGTGCATCATATCGGCGCACCCCTCACACGCTTCGGGGCCCCATAGGGAGCTACAGCCAAGGCCTAAATTTCAGGGTTCGCATTGCGTCGGTGCCGCTTTTCGGCACACCCCTGACACGCTTCTTGGCCCCACACCACAGGGAGCTTCAGCCAAGGCCCAATTGCCAGGGTTCGCATAGCGTCGGTGTTTATTTCGGCAAACCCCTCACACGCTTCGTGGCCCCATACCCAAATGCCAGGGTTCGAATGGCATCGGTGCTTCATGTCGGAACAACCCTCACACGCTTCGTAGCCACAAAGGGAGCCCCAGCGAAGGCCGACATGCCAGGGTTCGGATGGCGTCGATGTCGCACTGCGGCATACTTCTCGAACGCCTCGTGACCCCGTAGGGAGTTCCAGCTAAGGCCCAAACGCCAGGGTTCGAATGACGTCGGTGCCGCTTTTCGGCACACCTCTTAGACGCTTCGTGGCCCCGTAGGGAGCTCCAGCTAAGGCCCACATGCCAGGGCTCGCATGGCGCCGAAAGCGAAACTCACAACGACAGTACGCACAACTGCATATGGCTGGGTGTTTGGCCAAGACTGTGTTGCTCCCAAACCCTCCTGTGTTGGGCTTTCGTTTTGAATAGAACACTGTGGTCTCCGTCCTTCCTCCTCATTCGTCCTCCCCACATCCTCCTTCTCCTCCTTCTCCTCCTCCTCCGCCTGCTCTTCCTCCTCCTCCTCCTCGTCCTCATCCTCCTCCTCCTCCTCCTCCTCCTCCTACTCCTCCTCCTCCTCCACCTCCTCCTCCTACTCCTACTCCTACAACTACTCATAGTCCTACTCATCCCTCCCTCCCTCCCTCCCTCCCACCCTCCCTGTCTCGCTCCCTCCCTCTCCGTTTCCTCCTCCTCCTCCTCCTCCTACTCCTCCTCGTCCTCCTCCTCCTCCTCCTCCTCCTGCTCCTCCTCCGCCTTCTCTTCCTCATCCTCCTCCTCCTGCTCCTCCTCCTCGTCCTCTTCCTCCTCTTCCTCCTCCTCCTCCTTCGCACCTTTCCTCGCGACAACCGGCGACGACGACGCCGACGACGACGACGCCGCCGCTGACGACAACGACGACGACGACGACGACGACGACGACGACGACGACGACGACGACGACGACGACGACGACGACGACGACACCGCCGCTACCGACGACGACGGTGACGACGACGCGGTCAAGGCTGCGGCGGCATTCGGCGGCCGCGCCTGAATCACGTCCAGTACGGAGCGGGCCCAGGCGCGGGCGGGCCGCGCAGTCGACGGCCGCGGTCTCAGCTTCCTCCTCAGCCCTCCCCCCCTCCCTCCATCCACCCCTCCGTCCCTCCCTCCCTCCCTTCCCCTTGCCCTCATGCCGCATCCTCCTCAGCATCCTTCATCATCATGATCATCATCACCATCATCAGAGCCAACACATTCGTCATCATCATCAGAATCATCAGCATCACCAGAAGGAACAGCATCGTCAGCATCATCATCATCATCATCATCATCATCATCATCATCATCATCATCATCATCATCATCATCATCATCATCATCATCGTCATCATCATCATCAGCATCAGCATCATCATCATCATCAATATAAGCATCATCAAGATCATGTGCATCATCAGTATCATCATCGCCAACATCACCATCACCATCATCAGCATCATCATCATCAGCAGCATCAGCATCAGTATCAGCATCAGAAGCAGCACAATAATAGTGGCAACAATAACAAATATTATAATAATTGCCAGCATCATCATAAGCATCATCAGCATCATCATCATCATCCTCAGCAGCAACATCAGCATCATCCTCATCATCATCATCACCACCATCATCATCAGCATCATCATCGTCGTCGTCGTCGACATCGTCGCCAGCATCAACCACAACATCATCAACAGAATCATCGCCGCCACCGTCAGCATGATCATTGTTGTCATCACCACCAGCAAAATAAGAGGCATCATTATCACCATAAGCATCAGCACCACCAGCATCGTCATCATCATCATCAGCAGCAGCAGCAACATCACCATCATCAGCACCATCATCATCAGCAGCATCATCATCAGCATCATCAGCAGCATCAGCATCAGCATCAATATCATTGTCGTCAGCATCGTGAGCAACATCGTCATCATCAGCAGCAGCATCAGCAGCATCAGCATCCGCATCAGCAGAATTATCACCAGGATGTTAAACATCAGCATCAGCATCATCATCGTCATCGTCGTCGTAATCGCCACTGCCATCGTCATCCTAAGCCTCATCCTCCTCACCCTTACCAGCAACAACATCAGCGAAACCCTCCTTCATAAGTCTGCTCATCCGCATCATCACCGTCATCATCACTAATCAGCATCAGCATCAGCATCATCACCATCAGCATCATACCCATGATCATCATCATCAGCATCGGCAGTATGATCAGAATCATCAGCATCATCACAATTATCACCATACTCCCCATCATGAGCATCAGCATCATCACTATCCTCATCGTTCTCCTCATCAACAGCATCATCATCCTCATGACCATCCGCCTGCGCCCCATCATCCTCCTCGTCCTCCTCCTTTTCCTCCTCCGCCTATTC